TGGAGGTTGTGATGATGTCCATCGGCTCCTCGATAAGGAGACATGAAAGCTGGTCGTGCACAACTCATTCGCGGTGTCTAACGTATTTTGGAATGAAATGAATTAAAAAAAGTAAAACAGGAACCATGACAAATACATTAAAACGTAAAATGTAAGGCAAAACCATAATCTACCTTGAACAAATTGTTGTTACAGTTAAAAATACAGATAAATATTGAAAGGAGTATAATAGTTGGATAAAAGAATAAAATAATAACATTCACGACAGGAAAAGTAGTTTTTGGTTAACCGAACTAAAAATCTCACACAAAATATTTTAGGACACAGAATGATAATCATAAATGAAACATAACTGGATATTTGTACATTTTGTAGGTATTTAGAAAACTCAAAAATTCAACTAAATTTCTAAGTTAACAACTTGGTATGAAGTTATGGGTAACACTTTTTTAATGTCTACTGATCCTATTCGTTAGGATTAAAGTGAAGTAGTCAAAATAATCTTGAACCTAACTGATGGAAAGTAATAGCCCAAATCAATGAGACCCAGTCTCAAGTTGCTACAAACTTTAGCGAGAATTACAAAAGATAACATAATCTATAGTTAAACAATTATCTGCTCCCCAGATTTAAAGAATCAGTCGTATTATGACGAACCGACCGGCCTAACATGATAGAACCTAAAAGAACAATTATTTTAGACGAAACGGCTCGGACAGGTTATCCCTATAAGCAAGCCCGACAACCACGTCACGATACCAGTAAGTCTTCACAATCGTTAATTCCAATCCAGAAAGAAATATAAAAGTCTTTGATATACAGTGTTGCCTGAATTGAAGTCATTTTATATAACAGCTGACATCAAAATACATTAAGATATTCGGAAAAGTATATTAAGTTCCTAATTAACATTAAATTAGTCCCTCTTAATTGATACTCCGTGAGATATCGCTGTCACATTCAGAAAACCGTATGACCTGCTTGGCAAACTAACAATAAAGATATCTGAAAAAAGTACTCAAAACGCCACTGATGGTATTTTGAAACGTGTTAGTAAATTATAATTTGGATTTTCTTTAGATTGACTTAGTTCTAATGTGATAAGTTGACATAATTGACCATTCAAAGTTTCATTTTCTTGGTCCATAACTGGTAGAAAATCTTGAATTTTTGGATACTCCCTCGATCATATTTGTAAACAACTATAGTTACCGATAGATATTCACCTATTATCAACAAACACAGGTGAAATGTCTGCGTAGAAAGCTTGCTCCCGTTTTTCATGATGGTGTAGATCAGTGTACGACTATGACAAATTATCTATTAGTACTACCAGATGCAAAACATTGAACTAGTTGATTAAGAACTTAACCAATTGTAACAGGCTGGTATAGTCCAACCAGTCACTCATTTTTTGTAAACCGCACCAATTATGACAACTGAGAAGGATAGTGAAGTTATACACATGTACACTAATCTCTCAACTGGTCTAAATATTACATTGGACACATACTAGTATCCGTTACCAGATTTGAAGAACTGTTTGGCGGTACGTATCTCATGAAAATAGACGTTTCTGTTGCCTATTTTCGAGTGGATGTAACTGAAAGTCCTACAAAACTTTTGACTATTAACATTCACCAAGGGTTATTTCAATATAAACACTTATCGTTTGGCACTAAAACTTCACGTTTTATCCTCCGGCAACTAATGAATACGGCGTTAACAGGTACGTTTGAGACAGTACCACACCTATATTACATCATGATGGAGTACATCGAAAATCAACCAAGTTCTACATTAAATGAAGTATGAGTTTTACCTGTTAGGCAAAGTGTATCTTTCTCATCTACTCTACTATATACCTCGAAGTTCATATTGGATAAGATCAGTTAACGACCAAATAAGGCTAATATATAAGCCATTGAGAAAGTTAAGTCGATCGTTCTTGGGACGAATTAGTCATTACAAGTTTCTCCCTAAAATGTATCAAAACGCTTGTTGGATGAAATTTTAACGAAAGACAAACCATCCAAGTAGTCAGTAGAATGTTAGCTATCTTTGACACAATCAGGTTAGCGTTTACTTTAAATCTTCTTTAAACACTTCCTTCTTAGCTTGTGAATCATTGTCGTGTCTGATGCCTTTAGTTATAAAACTGGGACAGTGATTTGACATTTCCAGGTTAGTCAGAAAAAACAATCAAACACGTTGCGAGATAACGCATATCAGCCGAGTGGAAATGCAACCAATTTGTACTACCAAGAGTCCACCTGCTACAAATGGATCTCAACAACAGATTCTACATATCTGGTCAACGAGGTGGTAGAAAGACTAAGAGAAAGGATGTAGATTCCATAGACTCGTATTTTTGTCAGTGTAAACTCAATGTTTTTGATTCTCGGAGCATAACCTGTCCCCAACTGATCGAAGTGAACTCAGTCGTAAACAATTTAAAACTTGGCATATCAGCTTAAATTACCACACCACATTTCTACAGCCAGATGAAACTAAAAATACAAATTTCACAGTAGTAGAAGTAGCAATGACACCAGCATTAGAAAACATTGGGTAGTGCAGTGGTCGAGGAATACTAGACAAAGAACATGTAACAAACTCAATCATAAGTTAATAAAAGTAATTAGTGTCTATATCTACCTAGCAAATGTTTAAAAAATACAATTAACATGAAACATAGGGACTGTTCACTCGAAATAAACATGAATATAATTTTGATTACAATTTGGGCGACATCATGCATCAGAAGTAAGCCAAACAAATATATTGAGTACGAATTATTTCTACCATCCAGACATTGACATAAAACCATCCTTATGCTTCGAAAAGGTCTTCTCTAAACCTTTTGTGTTCAGCAAGTTTTTGTTCCTGGTGGTTGAGTATGGCTATAAAACTGCTACGTATTATATTCACGTGTAAATAGACAGATGCATCTCATATGGATTACAAATCGGTTAACGAACTCAAAGTAATTCCAGCTGTTAGAATGAGGATTGGTACAGATCAATCTCGGAGCAAAATTTTAGAGTAGGACGAAATAAGTGCACTTGTATTGTTGTTTAGGGCGACCAGGTGACTTTTCAAATTAAATTCAGAGAAAATCGAGGAAATTGAGTATTTGTACCATCCTTACATAATCAAACGCGTATGCATATTCCAAGTCCGGGGTGTGCAATTAGGTTATTAGTTGTTGAGGTTTGATATTGAGAGAGCTAACTCCAGAAGTATACCTGTGACAGACGAAACTAAAATACTTGTTTATGCTATTTTTGGCTGTGATTGTTTTCAGTTGCGTTATCTGATGGTCGAGACAGGTGTTATGTATACCCAACCATCGACAGCCTCGATTAGCCATGTTCTGTGGTATAGGGGTTGTCTGGAGAAAGCTAGGTGCGGCAAGACCAAAATATGGCACAAGTCGATGAAGTCACTGACAACTAGACTGAACCGTCTTTGTAAGTGTAGACTACCAGGTTGGGGTCCGCGAGACAATAGTAACCGATGGTTATAGAATTTGAATGACTTGGCTCAAACTCGTTTGCATTGGCGCAAATGCATCCATTTTTTATCTTTCAAATACTAATCGTTTGAATTCCTCATCACCTTTATCTTTCCTTCCTTAAATTTATTTCACTGGATTATACTTCTTGAATAATTTCTTCAGGCCTTGATCTCTATTACTCCTACTACTTCTACTACATCTACTGCTATGGGATTTGAATTGACAGTTGCGTCTCTGTGCTGTGATATTGCAACGAACTCATGTAAGTACTCACTGCCTCCTTGTACCATGGGTGTTGTTTATGAAATTGAGAGGACTAGAAGCGGATGTCTGGCGCTTTAACTGAGTTGGTGGGTAAGGAGGATCCACCGAGAGTTGGAAAACCCTCATTCTAAAACAGTGGTGCACATGAGCTCCAGGATCCTGACGAAACGAATGGCGTATGAACAGTTGTTGTCATTTTTGACTTTGAGGCTGATACAAAATGATAAATTTAAGAGCTAAATATGAAATATTCATGTAGAATGTTTACGAGAAAGACGATGGAGTTAAAATATTAATAAAAATTTGTAATGAAAGTAAATACACGTACCTCCGAATGCTGTGAATTAATGTGGTAGTTTAGCCCGGCTCTAGATCTGTATTTTACGCCACAAAATTCACACAAAAATACTGGTAAAGATGTCTGGCGTTCATTCGAGTCATCATCGAATGCAGAATAATTGGAACGTCGCCGACCAGGTCCAGAATGGTTAGATCTGCTGATGCGTGGAGTCTAAAAAACAATATACAGCTAATATTGGACTTATTTTTATCAAACCAACACTAAATATACAAGTTAAGTTTGTCTGAATGTTGAGTCCAATGAGTAGTTATTCAGTGGACGTATGATGAACAACAAAATATATAGATAACTGACTAATATGAACCATTTTAATTACGCAAAATTACCAAGCTGAAGTGATATCTAATAACAAGACAATTAGCCAATTAAAAGCATTACTTGGTAACGTTGTCAAATGCACACAAAACGCTTAACACAAAATTAAACACGGCTACAACTCATTTTACGTCAAACAATTCTAAGATAAAGATTGTTGTAAACCACTAACGCTTGAATTTAATTCCTATCCAATCTGTATTTAGTGGGATCTTTCATGAACTAGAAAATTTTCCTTATTGACCAGTCAAGCTAGTTCAGTATAAAACGAAAACGGAATACAAAGAATTCACGAAACAAAAGTTTACATAGTGTCCTAGTTGAGGTTTGAAGAAAGATAATAAAGATAAAAATTTACACTGTACTCAAGTTTTACAAATATTTCAATATTACCCAACCAAAGATACAATTAACCTAAAAATTGGATTGTAAGGTTAATGGGGCAGATGAAAAAATAACCCCCCCAAAAAACGATTGTATTGGAAATGTATTATATGACGCCAAAATAATACGCATACCAAACTATTGAAAATGAAATCTGGATGGTAAACCCGTTTAATACCCTACCAAAAATTGTAGAGACTGAAATTTGATCATCTTTTCGCTCATTTGGGTGATAATCGTGAAAGTATTGTCAGTCGTGTCCGAATTTTAGGTTATATATATCCAGAAATATTATTGTTTGGACTACTAAATGCATTATGCTGATGTGTTGCTTTTTTAACTCTTTTAATGTCTATTATGATCAGCTATCACCTAGTGGTTATCAAATTATCCGAGCACATTGAATTACATTGGAAGTTTATGTTGACTACGGACAAGACAAACATATTAAGTCGATAATGACGAGTAGTTGGAACACACCGAGGCCTCTGAATATCAAACCGTACTTACCCGACCTTTTTTTCGACGTCTGCGAACTCCGAAATTCTCATCTGCGAAATCACTTGCATCAGAATCCATATCGTATTCTGGGCAGGCAGCCCAAGTACTACGACTATCATCATCCGCATCCTTAGAACACGAATCTAATCCTGAGACAATATTGGGACGGTCTAAGAGTAAAATAGAATTAGAAACTTACCAACTTTAGCAACCCCATTTAACAAATCGCCATGATACAGGAAAGAAGGGAGTTGACCAGTTCGTTTGCTTTTCTTCCATCTGTGGGAACGATATCGATACACTTGAGTTAGGTAGCCTACAGGTTCACTAGTTGTGTGAAGTTACTTACCTCCCTCTCTTTCTCTTTGGTTGCGGTAAAGTAAGCACGGTCTTTGAGCTATTCCGGTTGCGCTGTCCAAAAATGGTAGTCGACTAAGTTTATCCTGTTGTAAGCGTCTGTTGTACCTCGATGCAAAAGCAAGTAGTTTGTCATAAGTAAACTCGTCCGGTTCAGATGACATTATTAAAATAACCGATCGCCTTGAAATGAAATCTAACATTAAGCCTCAGGCCCACATCAGTAGCGATTTAAATCTAGCGTGAGGTCAAGTAATTCACAAAACCATTTGGTCCGATGCTGATGCACATAAACAAACCCATTGTCCAACAATTTGTCTATTCATAACTGTTCGATGGCATGAAGAGAGCTGCAACATGATCGGTTCTCTAATTATATAAACAATAAAAAGTACGAGCTACTTTTCAGACTCATTCTAGCAGGAAAACATGATTTCAAGCTTTCTAAACTTCTTAAGTAATCTATCGGTCTTCATTTTTTAATAGTTGCTATAGTATCTCAATTGAGTTGCATAGATACTCCGTTTGAAATCATCATCAAAGGGTTCCAATAGAAAGTTCTCTGGCAGTAAGTTTTAGAGACCTATCAATCAATGCGAGCAACATAGCTACAGCTCAGTTCGGTTTTTAAATCTTATGAGGACGTCCTCAGGGCGATTAACGATAGACGGGAAAAACATAAAATGATGTACTCATAATTCAGCTGTAGTTTATTCTAAAATAAACTCAAATCAGCTCACCTCTCAACTTTCTGTAAGACAGGAAACAAGATGGAGATTCTCGGCACATCTGTACATATATGATTAGGAAAAACGTCAGTCATTTCGGTCCCATTCCGTCAAACTCATTCTATCATATTTGTTTCATACTTATAAACAGATCTCTATGTTTGAACATCATATCCCGAACACTATCTTATGCCTCCATTTTCAGGAATACATCATTATCTCAGCACATCTGGAAGTTTTTCAACATCCTCCTTGAACATACACATGTTCCTAAGAATACCACCTACAGTGAATTCCAAGTCATTCATTGTTCAGTGATATTAATCCTCCAGTTACCTGTCTGGGTTATAGAATTTTCCCAGAACTGTCATTACTTATCAATAATTTATGCACCAAAATAGGACATTGAAATCTTTTGTTTGCCTATGCATTATGAAGATAAGTTAACCTGCCCTATCACCATAATCGTTTGTCGATCTTCAAAGTGTAGTCGAACACTTCTACTAAGGAAACGCGAACGGTGAAAAATCAGTCAGTCAGTCAGTTGCAACGTAGAACTTCGTACGTATGTACATAAGTTCATGTTGCCATACCACATTAGCACAGAGACGCGAATATCAAATCAAATCCCATAGTGATAAAGATAGTAGAGGTATTAATGTTATAATAAAGAAGACTAGGGTTTAAGATATTATTCAAAAAATATAATTCAGTGAGATAAGGTTAGAAAGACAAACGTAGAGGAGCTGGCTAATCCAGAAGATTAGGATTTGAGAGAGCACAAAGAGTGGATGCACCTGCGCCATTGTAAACGATTTTGAGCCATGTCGTTCAAGGTCTCTAACCATTGGTGACTTTCGTCTCGCGGACCCCAACCAGGTAGTCTACATCTACCAACATGACTCAGTCCACTTGTCAGTGACTTCATGGATTTGTGCCATGTTTTGATCTGGCCGCCCCTAGCTTTCTTCCAACCTACTCCTACACCAGAAAAATAAACATTTATTATTGTACTCCCTTTGTTTAACTGTACCAAAAACACTTGCGCGCAACGTTCTCTTTTCGCGTTACTGACATCCTTCATAAATTGCTGCTCACTGTATCCCCCAATTTCTCCTTCAAGTATTTTCTTTACCCTGGATTTACTTCTGATTATGGTGATGAGATAGTAATTAGTACTTAGTAGTGATCATAGTCAATCTCCACTTGGTCACCACTTAATTCCTTTGATGTCACCTTTGAACAAAATGAATAGTTTTTCGCAGTTTCTTCGGTTGTTGTTACTAATGTCACTTCTTCTAGTACTTCACTTCAAGACAAAATTGGATGTTTGAGCGTGGAGAAGGTAGGCGTCGGTGGCAATAGCGTTAGACACAGTGATGGCACTACTGAGGGAGCTAGCATTCCGTACCCTAGGTGCGATTAGGAGTCATCTAGGCTTAATGTACATGTTGTTGTGTTGATTATGCAGCATGAGGAATCGAGCATGGAATTTTCCACCTGTCGCACTCCACCATCTTTGACTTGTACAACAAGTACCGGGATGAGCACTATCAACAGTGATAAGATAGATAAGGTTAAGAGCATTCCTAGTAAGGAAAGCAATGTTGATTGAGTAGAGTTAGACACTGTTCATGAGTCGAATGGATGTGATGGGAAGATGACTGCTACTTCTACAGCTGCGGCTAATAACGATAATAGCATTGATAATGCTCCTGTGGGTATTAGTGATCAAGGGAAATCAAAAGGCACTCATCGACATCGAAGTGGGCCTACATTACGCTCACATACTGCTACCCAAGCTAAGAATCATACGAAACGACATGATGCTACTATTACTAAGAAGCATAAACTTCGCTCTCTTTCAGATGCTGTGACTAGCAATGGAGATATTAGTCATCAGAATCGTAGTAGTGGTAACGATGGTAAAGAGACAGAAAGTGTGAGCAGTCCACCTATAGTAACTAGTCGATCGACTTCATCGAACGAGCCTTATAGTGTTTTGACGTCATCGGACCTTGTCGCGAATGTTAAGTTGATTGAGGATACACAAGGTTGTGTAACTGCAAGTGTTCCTACTTCGGTTGACTTTCAGTCGAGTGATGATGAGAAGAAAGTGTCTGACGGTAACAGCCAGTTTACAGTGTTGCATGATTACGATGCTATGGATGTGCATATGTCTTGTGTCTCTGAAACGGAACATGAAGAACAACAAGTGAGTTCATCAGTTTCGAATTGTGACACTAATGCTGTTATTTCATGTTGCGAGATGAGTTATACAACAATGGAAGAGTTTCACTCTACGGATGCTAGTGTAGCCAGAAACGACTGCCACTACATCCAATTTCGTGTTGATCTGAAGTACTCGAAGAAGCTACATTCGTAACAACAGCCGGAGAAACTACACTACCTATAGGGATTCCACTCTCGTTACCATCAGGTTTATTATTCACATTTATCACACTATTAACAGACACATGAGGTTTCATCTCAACCTTGATATTTTTGTTGTCCACATTGATGTTCCGACTCTTCAAAATTAATGACGATTTGCGAGATAGCTGGCATGCAGGCTTTAAAGCTAAGCTACCACTGCTGCCACTTACACCACTACCAATATTGCTATGACTCCTTGAACTGATATGCGACCGTCCATCAGTCGACTGCAAACAAACATCATCAGGACGCGCTAAGCTGCTATTATCTTCCGCTTCACTATCATGATACTCCGTAGAACTAGATACAGTAGCCGTCAGACATCTGATCTCGCAGCAACATGAAGTGCTGTGTCACTGTTTACGCTTGCTATCCTAGGATCAGCTCTATGTCGTGTCAAATAATTTACTCTACGTGAACGGTTCCGAACATAAGCTTCGCTCCGTACAGTCAAACCTTATTTATATTCAATGCACCCAATAACCTCTGTTTGCTGGAATCTAAATTACTATTCCTTGCATTTCGATCAGTTAGGAGACTCCTACTATCACATTCCTCGGACCCGTCTTGATGCCTAACCTTTCTGCCTTTTTCCTTCTTCGTCATCCTCAAATAAGCCACCATATCTTCTACAGATACTGACTTCTCCTTAGGATGGACTTCAAGGGATTTCAAATCATAAAGCTTACGTGCTCGGTCTTCAGGAGGATATACCTTGCCAATACAATCCTTTTCGTCCCATTTAATTCCCAGCTCTGCCCACTGGATTTGCATACGATGAGGTAGAAGCCTAACTATCCTTTCCAAAGTCACTAAGAAATTCAATTCAGCAGTACAATTTAACTGTTCCAGAGTCATAGATAAGTTATGCATCTTAATTGCTAAATTCGACAACTGCTCTGGATTGTTATAGTCAGCATTCCCAGATCTAAAAAAGTCTTCCAAGGTTTTCACGAGCGATTACGTGCGATTGTCCCAAAAGCTGTTTTAAAATAGCCTTAGCCCCTTTATATCTGCGTGAAGTTCCATTATAAGATATCCCTCAATCGCATCTCTACCTTTCCCTTGCAGTAATGGATTAAATATAATAGGCGCAGATTGTCCTCAATAACTCTAGGTTCTATAAACGCGTCAAACTGTCTGATAAACTTAATATAATAACGGTGTTGTCCATAAAAATAACCTAGTTCAACCTTTGGCAATTCTAAGCCAACTACCGGTGTCCTAGACATCAAATCTTTCCCAGGTACCTCAAATTCCTCGTCCAAACTACGTCCTTTAGTACCCTCTAACGATGGCTTCAATAATGAGTACTAAGCATAATATCATCCTTGTCAGAGAGTGAACCCTTTAAACATGAAGTATCATAAGCAACTTACCTTGCATTCCGCGATTCTTCATGGACTCCATGTTACGTCCAAGTTTTGCTCCTTACCGTTATTGAAGTACAGTATGTCAATGTATTTGCAATTCGCGAACCCAAATTAACAACAGAACCAAACTCCAAAGTTAGGTACTAAAGTTTATTCGCAATTCACAAATAGTCGACTAAAATGTCGTTCTAACAACAATAACTATAATAACTACAAATACCTTCAGTTTTATAGGTTCCTGGAGCAAAAACTCCCAATTAGCAAGCCGAGACAAACAGAAACCAAAATGTCCGAAAATAATCAATCAAACAAGTTCATAAGTTAAGTAAAACAAATATACCCAAAAAACACAGTGAAATTAATGATATTTATATAATGGTTTTAACCAGCCAAATGTCTTCATTTCTCCCGTTACACTCCATCCCTGTACGTGTTTGGCTTCTTACAAGAACTCATTATAGCAATTGGAAACAACAAAGAAACAACAAAGACCAAATATTATTGTCGACAATAAGACATCCAAAGTATTTTTCTTCAATATCGTTAAGAACCAGCTGACAGTAAAATATCCAAAAGATCCTCTTCCAAATATTGTTTATAAATTGTAAACGATAAGAAATGCAAAGGATGCTCATCCAAGTATTGTTTTGGATTGGTCAACGATAAAAAATCCAAAGGCTCCTCC